CAGCCACCTCTTGCCCTATTCAACATTATACTGGAGGTCTTAAGTGTAGTCAAGATTCCAAAAGGATAAATATCAGAAAATAACTTTAAGAAGTCACTATTTAGAAACATTTAGATGATATATTTCAACTAAATATTTAATTAATATAAGTTCAGTAAGGTATCTGAATAAAAAATTACCATATAAAAATAATTAGCTTCCTATACAGTAGAAATAATTAGTTAGGAAGCAGAAAATAAGATCTCAGAAAAGTAATAAAAATCCATAAAATGTCCATAAAATAAAATTTTCATCATTTTTTTAACTTCCCTAAATGAAAAAAAAAAAAATTAGCATTTCTAAAAGAATATGAAAAGATCTACACAAATGAAGACATATACAATGCTTTCCAATGGGATTACTCAAAATTCTTTTCCTTTTTTCTTTTTCTTTTTTTAAAAACATGACCGGTAAGGGGATCTTAACTCTTGACTTGGTGTTGTCAGCACCACGCTCTCCCGTGTGAGCTAACCGGCCATCCCTATATAGGGATCTGGACCCGTGGCCTTGGTGTTATCAGCACCACACTCTCCCAAGTGAGCCATGGGCCGGCCCTTGGATATACTCAAAATTCTAAAAATGTCAATTCTCACCCAATTACTCTCTAAATTCAAGGTAATCCTAAGGAAAACACCTATTAGATTTAAAATATGCATTATGAAATATCTCACACAAAGAAGTAAATATAAAGAACATAAGGAGGAAACATGAACCACAATCCAGCTTAAAAAATAAGACATTACCAATACAGTTGAAAAGGAAGAGCTATGAAAAGACTTCCCCTATAGACAGCAAAACATACTAAGAAACTGCAGCAATTAAAACAGAATGGTAGTGGCACAGGCATAAACACATGTACCAACAGAATAGAGATTTCAGAAATGGACTCAAACAAAAGTGTAATACATAATAAAAGCAACATTTCAAATCACTAATAAAAAGACTGGCTATTTAATAAACTGTCTTTATATAGCTTAATAGCATGAAAAAAATTAGAGCAACCTCACACCACACAAATTAATCAATCTTCCATTCCCTATGGATCAAAGAACTAAATGTAAAAAAATTATAAAAGTAGTATACAAAAATAGGGTAGTAGGTCTTTAAATATTATGGTAGTAAAAGTATTCTTAAGGAAAACTTGTCTCTATGATGAAAGACCCCACAAAGTTAAAAAAACAAGTTGATATACTGAGAGAAACATCTATAACAAAGAATTATTAACCACAATATATGTTTGTAACTGCAAAAATAGACAAAGTCAAACTAAAAACTGTAAAGACTATCAAAAGGCAACTTGATGAAAGGGGCAAGATACAAATTTACACTAAATATATGAAAAGATTTTTAACCTTTCTAGTAATCTAACTATAAATTAAAATGATAGTGTAAATAAGTTATGACCATCAATAGAAAAATTAAATATTTTATGGTATATTTATGTTACAAACACTATGAAGACTTTATAATGATGCAAATGATCTATATTTAAACATAAAAAATCACTGAAATTTTACTAAGTGCAAGTGACAGAACAATATGTATACTATGAAAAAATTTACCTAAAAACAATAAAACCTATATAAATATGTATATATATATTCACTGAGAGATGTTTAGAGGGATTAAAGACCAACCTCTAAAAAAGACTTCATCTGGGGATCAGTGAGATTGGGGGAAGAGTCAAAAAGGATTACTTTTTCTCTTTTGTCTATACTCTGTGAACTTTTACAATAAATTCATGTATTATGTGTGCAATTACATTTTTAAATTTAACCCTCAATCTTCCTTTTATGTTGCTACAAATGTAAACTAAACAGAAAATAATACAAATTCACTTGTTCAGCCAGTCAACCAGCTAGCATTTATACCTACGCTCTCCAAGATATTATATTTGATCCTGAAGATACAAAGTAAATATGGTCAGAAACCTTAAAGAATTCAAAATGTGGAAGCAGAGACTGTACGACAGTTACATGTATATTCCCATAGGTCTTTAGTTCATGTTTCTAAGTCAGGGGAAAGCTGGGGAAGATTTTATAGATGTGAAATTTGATTTAAGGATTTTAAAAAATGAACAAAAATTTGGAAGTTGGGAGATTTTGGTAGAAGTAACAACATGTGCATAGGTTAGAAGGTACAAAAGTGGGGCATTAGAAGTAGTCAGTCAAGACCACTTTCTATGTGACTCTGGGCAAAAAAATGAACCTGTTTCAAATGAAAAATAAGGACAACGATATCTTCCTTAGTGAGCTGCTGTGGGGAAAATAAGGTGGTAAGTTGAGAAGAATGTGAGGGCAATCTGGCTGCCACATCTCCCACCCAAGGCTGATTTCCAAGGCTGACTAAGCTGTTTTACCTCAGGTTATTGTCTTCTTTTTCTCTTACTGTTTCTCCAGAAGCTGCCTATTTGGTAGAAGAACATAAACCTCTCAGTCTAGTCTAGCACAGTTCTTGACAATATTTACTTGAAAAACTTTCTTTTTTTAAACCAGTGTTCAGAGTTCCACTGAACTATTCTCTGTGACACTCCCTACAACTGCCCTCCAATTACTGCTAGGTCCCTATTCTCAGTTTGAGAACCAGTGGTATGTTTAATAAGCACCCCACGCAAAGTGTTTGCATACTTCATACTTACAGGCTGAGGCTGTTCTGCAATACAGCAGTTGAAACACAACCAGAATTCACTCATGCTTACAGTCCAACGTATAAACGGGCACCAGTGAAGGTTCCAAATCTCAACTCAGAAAGCTCCACAAAGCACGCTCCTCAATAAGATGAATGTCCAATGATGTCAAAATGATAATATTATTTCACTGTTTTTTCAATGAAGTATCTTATATAGTCAATTTAATTTTTAAAAAGTCAGACTGTCCTTTCTTTGCTTCTGGTTCTACAGAGACTTGTTTCTGAACCACCAGCAAGATATAATAATTGTTGTCTTGACCCAGGGCCTGTAACAGGTAGTCTAGGAAGAAAGGAAAAAGTAAAAGAAAATAAGTTAACTTTACTTATCCTTTGAAGCTCCTATTTCTTAAATCTGTGATAAAATTACAGGCAAATATTACCCAAAAAAATAAACACTGAAAAATCAAGATTTTAACAAACCGATACTCATCCAACAAATTATTTCTTGAGTATCTTTTGAGTGTCGACTACTAGGGATATAGCAGTAAAAGCAGATAAAAATCCTTGCCTTCATGAACATTCTACTTTATGACTATGAAGGTCTGAATTATTTTAAGGTTTGTTTTGTTTTAAATCACTAATTAGAACATTATGATTGCCATACTTAAGATTCTAATTCCAAGAAGAAATACTAGTCATCATTTTCACAGTTTTTTTCAGTTGAGACAATCCAAATAGTAATTGACATAGCAATAAACTTTATCAAGTAGCTGTTGTTCATTAAAAACCAAAACAAAATTATCACCTTATCCATTAAAATTAGAATTGTACATGAAAAACGGATAGGGGTAAAGTTAGACTTCCTTTTGTGAATCGAGCCATTAGATCCCTGCCCCTATCATTACCACCTCCACAATGAGTGTTTGTCAAAATAATTTATATATTGCCATGGCAAACCAAGCTGAATCAATCAGAATCCTTGAGATATCACTTGCAGCCTACAACAGTGAAGTGAAGGTGTCTCGTAGAGAGTTGGATACACAGATCTGAAGCCAAGAAGTCTTGGAATCATCAGCAGATATAAATGAAGTAATGAATGACAATCCCTAGGGAAACAGTATCATGAGAAACAAAGAGGGTTTAACAGAGACCTCTGAGTAACAGCAGCATTTAAATGATCGGTAGAGAAAAAAAGTCTACCAAGGCGGTTTGGGTGTTATCAGAATGAATGAGAAGAGCAAAACCAGTTAAATGTGGTGTCACTGGAGTCTGTTGCAAGGAGGAAGTGGAACAACAGTACTAACTGCCACTGAGATAGGAATGACTGAGAACTGTCCATTAGATTGTGCAGCAAACAGACACTTGGTGGATGTGGCTACAGCAGCTTTAGTAAAGTATTGCAGGCACAAATCAGATTACAGTGGTTTGAGAAGTGAGTTAGGGAAAACAGCACAGTCAACAAGTGTAGAGAGTCAACAAGTGTATGGACATAAAGTTTAAAAGATAGTGTGGTCAGTATAATGAAGGGAAAAAGACACCTTTGAAATGAAAATATCAAAGACCAAACATATATCAATTTGATTATTCTGAGATGTTAACATTTTTGTTCCAAGTGATAAAATATAAATCACATATTTATAAATTTGTGCAAGAGATTTCATACATTTATAAGCTTTGTCAACTATAAATCAATAACAACTGTATTACAGGATTACAGAACCCTGAACATTAAGTGAAATTAAATTCCTCCCTTTTGTTTTCTCCACAGCCATGACTTTAAACCTTTAACAGGAATGGCAGTTATTTTCATATTTGCATAGATAAAGACCTTCAGTAAAGATAAATGCACATATGCTCAATTTCACAATCTGAGTAGAAATGAGGCATGAATGCAGGACCCTGATTCTACAGATTCCAGAGGACAAGTCCTCTAACATACCACAGGAAAATGATATATGTTCAAGGCAGATCGGCAGGAAGAAAAATCTGCATTCTTGCCATAATTAAAATTCAGAACCTGAAATTCGTATTTTAAACAAGGATGAACATTCTTTACCCACCCAAACTTTAAACCAAGAAAGTGGCAGTCTTCGTCCGCTGAACTGGATAAATGCTGTTAAGTTTTATCAACCTTCTAAGCAAGAATATAAGAGAAAAGGGTTAAGTTCACAACATCATGAACATTATTTCAGTGTTGCTATTTAACAAGTTTATCTCCACCCTGAATCAAAGACCTTGGCCATTAAGAAGTTGCTGTGAAATGAAATCTCTTTGAAACCAATTCTATGAAAACAAATATGCCTTTGTTTGAAACTAAAAATTCTTTATGCTCATCACTGTTAGAACACATATAGATAAAGAGTTACTCTGATGTCTTCAAATCTATTGGATTTGAGCTCTGATATTTTCAGATCTATTGTGTGGTTTATTCCATCAATATCACGTTTTCTCATTTACATATAAAACTAGGCAATTTCCTTTTCATTTATAAGTTACCTTTGCAGCAATAACCTTCAAATACTAAGTTTACATTGGGAGGTAGTATATTTTCTTTTCTTTAAGTGCTCCTTCTGTTTAACACTTAAAATTAATAAATGGCTTCCTACTTTACAATCCATAAAAAGTACTTTATCATCTCCATATTTTCACAAATTCAAATTGCCTTCTCTTTTAGGGTAAAACTATTTCTCATGTTGTGAATTTTAAAATGTACATTTTCTCACTCCCATGTACATCATTTGAGAATGATGTTCTCGATACTTCCTCTTAATATTTAGTTCACAAATGACTGTTTAAAGTACAATAATTTATGCTTCTACGTATTTCTACCTAGATAACAGACCTGCTGAAATGTGTTTTCAAAGCAAGAGGATGTTTGCAATTCCACAGGTTTTTATTTGTTACGTAAATACATAGATCTTAAAATGTTTCAAACATGCCTTGGAATGTGATATCAATACATTGTCTATCTTCTTACTTTTCTAAACGAAATTCCTTATTAGAATTTTTTCAAAAGTGTATATACTTAAAATACATCTACATATAAACATCTTCAGAGAAGTACTGAATTCTTCACAAAAAATTTCAACACTGCCAGTAATAATTAACTATACTAATAGTTACTTTTACTTCTTGAGCTGAAAGTTGCTTAAAATATGTTTCTTTTAAAATCCTTACTTATTTAATCTTTAGATAACAAAAGGAGTGTCATTTGCAATAATATCAACATCTAAACTTGGCTTTAAACACAGCTCAGCACATTCCACACATAAATATGGTGTCAGACTGGCCTACAGCACAAGAGAGTATTTCATTGACTCATACAGATCCATAAGACATAGATTTTAGAAATGGAAGGGACCTTAAAGATAACATCATGGAGCTTACTCATGAAATAGCTTGAGGTATATTATCCAAGGCCAGTCAGCTAGTGATTGGCAGAGCTCCCTTGAATTCAAAGTTCAGTCTCTTGATTTATAAATGAAATTGGCATGAGGAGAAAAGTGGTAGTATTCTCTCATTGAAATATTAATCAACATTAGTTTCCCCTTCTCGTTCTCCCTACCTAAATCAAATACTACAGATATTAGCTTTCTACCTGGGTGAAGAGTTTTGCTGCTGCCAATTTTAAAAAGTTATATTCCAGAATCCCACCCACATTTAATAAAAGTGCTTTTTAAATCAAATTCCAAAGACAAAATAATAAAGCCATAATTTGAAAAACTGGACAATGGCGCACACCTTTAATCAGGTAATTTCTTCAGGTTTTTATTTTTTTTTATTCCAAAATATTAACTCAGTTCCAGTATTGAGCATGCTTAGTTTGTATGAAACTGAATCCAAATTTCAGAATTCAGACTTTGGAATAAAAGATCTGTGGCAATTAAAGTACTTCACTAAGTTTTAGAAATGTTAGCTTGGGCAAGTGACAAGCTGTATCGCCCTCAGTTTTCTCAGTTATAAAATGGAATGCTGCATTCCCAATTTCACAGGTCTGAAAGGAGGACTAAATTAAATACTGCATATGAAGATAATGTATATATTATAAACAGCTATATTAAGATGCTCTTAATTATTTTCAGAATTAAAATGGCAGAAGAAAACAAACAGGTAATTTGTAATTTGCTGCAAATTTAAGAAACAATCTAAAAGCCTACCAAGAAAAAAAGGGAAGAAAATTTTTAAATGAACTATGGTATACTCATACAAAAGAAAACAACACAAAACGAAAATGAAAAACAGATGCAATGTAGATAACTTCATGCAACAGCTTCATGCAATGTAGATAACTCTAACATGTTGCTGAGAGAAGCAGCATGGCACAAAACAACATACATGGGGGCTTGCTGGATAAGCTCAGTTATTAGCCGTTGTTACAATAACAAAGTCAAGGGTTCGGATCCCCATACCATCCAGCCACCAAAAATAAATAAATAAAAAATAACATACATGGAATCATTTTATTTCTATGTATTTCAAAAACAGGTTAAACTAACCTATCTTATTTAGAGATGCACACATAGTTATAAAAGAAAAACAAGAAAATTATTATATAAAAGTCAGGAGAGTGGTTACCTACTGTCCCCTGAGGGCAGGGATTACAAATAGGAAGAAAGGCATAAGGGCTTCTGGAGTACTGACAATGTTTACCTCTTGACCTGGGTGGTAGGTATAAAAGTATTTGCTTTAAATTATTTGTTAAGTAATACATTTATGTACTATGCAATTTTCTAAAAATTATTATTACTATTATTTTTGCAGCTGGCTGGTACAGGGATGGAACCCTGGACCTTGGTGTTAACCATGCTCTAACCAACTGAGTTAACCAGCCAGCCGCTTCCATATACTATATTTCTAAGTGACAAAATTTTAACACAAGTAAAAGAAGTAAATACTATTAGCAGTTGATAATGAATTCATATGAATTCATAAAGATCAGGGATGGAAATGCAGAACAGAATCAAGAAAAAAAATGAACATCCTTGCTAGAAACCTTGAAGGACTGGGTAAAATTATCTCTTCCTTTTCCATCTTTATCGATTCTCCCTAAACTCTTTCTTAGTTGCCTGGAGTTAGAAATAATGACTATGCGACACACAGTAGGTTCTCACAGTATGAGCTGATGGACTGAAATCTGTATTACCATTCTGAACTTTTCTCCTGAGTCTAGCTAGGCATTTATATCCTCCTGGTAATGAACATCTCTTGTAGTCTCCTAGTCATCTCAAACCAATCTCTGAAAAACTGAATTCATGGTCTTTTTCCTCCATCTGTTTCTATGTTACCTTTCTTGGTGGGTGGCACCACCATGTATTATTTACCAGGGAGTGCACATTCAAA